ACTCCTATACAGAGTTTTTAATTGAATTTATTGCATCGTTTTTGCCAAAGTAGTAATTGGTGCTGGCCACCACAGCTCCTGACCTTTTTTGGGACATCGATCCACATCTTCAAACTGACCTACGGCCCTGCTGGTTGCTGATAGTTGGTGTATTGGTTCTTCTTTAGATACTTCCCCAGATACAGCGGTGTTCTACAGGAAAATGTAAATAGCATGATTAACATTTATATTTTGTGACATTTGGCCAGGCTGTTTTAGGATACTGGACAGTTTTGTTTAATCCCCTTGCCATGGCCTTTTAGACCTGTATGGCCATTCCCAAAAGACTGGAATATTAACTAAGTAATAGTGGTTCACACAAGAAAAGAAGCCACTAAAATGATACACATAATATACATCTGTTTTCATATACTGTGGAAGTTTTCAGTGGGTTACTTTCAATGAGTACAAATGGCTGATGTAATGTTTATGTAATTGAACAATATATTCTATTTTAGGACATGGTATATGCTTTAACAATGCACTGATTACAGTTCCAGTAAAATGCTGTCTGTCATAATTGGAATCTTTTGCTGCTGGGCTTCCTGTTGCACAAGTATAAGACAAAATAGCAAATCCATATAGATATAAGGACTATTGAAAATATGACGTGAACAATAATTCCTTATGCCTCCCATTCCTGGACTTCACATCCATTTTTACTTGGGAATAATTCCCTCTTTAAATTGAAGTTTGGTATACATTGGGGGGAATTTATCAAAACTGGAGCAGAAGAAACTGGAGCAGCTGCCTATGGCAACCAATCATCTTCTCTCTTCAGTTTGTTCAGTTAAGGTTTGAAAATGAAAGGTGGATGCTGATTGGTTGCCATGGGCAACTGCTCCACATTCTGTCTGCTCCAGTCTTGTTAAATTCCCCTCATTGTGTTTTCATTCACACTCCTGTTAAAAAGTAATATGTAGTAATAAACTGTAGTTCTTTTACTATACCCAAATTCAGCGTGTTTATGAGCATATGTTTTGTTAATACAACCACATGCAGTTTTAGAAATAAAAAGATCTTTTTAACAAAGGACATATTTGCTACTTTTAAAATGCTGCTTTTCAGTTCCTGAAAGGGAAAATGTTGTCCTAATGTATTAATAATGTAATCGTGCCTGAAATCTCAAAGATGAGTCACTAAAATCAGTATTATTGTAACAGAAAGTACTGATATCCTGGTAAAGCTATCATTAAAAATGCAAAATAATATTTAGGTAATGTTCTGCTGGGAGACATTGGGTCCTGCCTTTCATGCTACTTTGACACGTACCACCTACCTAAAAATTGTTTCTGACCAAGTACACCCCTTCAGAAACAGCATTTCCTGATAGCAGTGGCCTCTTTCAGGAGGGAAATTTGCCGTGCCACACTGCAAAAATGGTTCAAGAATGGTTTGAGGAACACAGCAATGAGTTCCAGGCGTTGACTTGGCCTCGAAAATCTTTAGATCTTAATCCAGTCGAGCATCTGTGTGATGTACTGCAAAAACAACTCCGATCCATGGAGGCCCCCACCTCACAACTTACAGGACTTAAAAGATCTGCTACTGATGAATTGGTGCCAGATACCACAACATACCTTCAGAGGTCTTGTGGAGTCGATCCCTTGATGGGGTTAGGGCTGTTATGAGGGAGACCTACTTAATATTAGGTGGGTGGTCATCATGTTATGGCTGATAAGTGTATATACACACTTAAACACTAAAACTTCCCTGCACACTTGCCAGCCTGCAAAAAAAAATTACTCTTAACACTTTGTGTAAAAAACAGTGGTTTTAGTTGCACAAACTTTCACAAAATATGTGGAAGCCACACTGCCTTGTCAAGGCTTCTTTGTGTAGTGTGGTCCTAACGCTAATCTATGAGAGCCTCCATCTTGGAGCATACATAGCAATGGATAAATTGAGTGCATGTATGCCTGGAGGCAGCACATTCCTCCTTAAAGCCGCAGGGATGCACCAGAAGCCCAGCAGATCACAATGGCAACTAAGCCCCCAGTGTGTCCCCACACCAAATCCCGGAAAACAAATATAGCAAATACACAAATGGCTGATGCAATGTTTATGTAAGTGAACAATATATTCTATTTTAGGACAGGGTATATGCTTTGACAGCAAACTGATTATAGTTCCAGTAAAATGCTGTCTGTCACAATTGAAATCTTTTGCTGCTGGATTTCCTGTTGTACGAGTATACAACAAAATAGGAAACGCATATAGATATGAGAACTATTGAAAATAATTCCTTCTGCCTCCTTTTCCTGGGCTTCACATCCAGTTATACTTAGGAAGAATTCCCTCTTTAAATTGAAAAACACAAAAGAAGAGGCGCCTTTCCTGGTGCAATATCATTTAATCCAAAAAGACAGGCATAAAGGTGAATTGACAGGTACTCACTATGTTGAAGATAAAAACAAGCCGTTGGACAATATGACCAGAGCAATAAAAAGATCCGGATAGCGTGTCCTGTATAAAGCACTGCTGTGTCGACGCGTTTCCGGGGCACGCCCCCTTCATCAGGACGTAATCCTGATGATTAAATGATATTTGGATTAAATGATATTGCACCAGGAAAGGCGCCTCTTCTTTTGTGTTTTTTAGATGTTCCAGTACCCTTGACTGTTTTTGAGGCTGCACCTTGCATATGTGCTTACGATTTCTTCCCCAGGAGGGGTAAGGATTGTCCTTGGCGCTTTTAAAACCATAAACTTTTCTATTTTGCCTCTTTAAATTGAAGTTTGATATACATTGTGTTTTCATTCACACTCCTGTTAAATGCAATATGTATTAATAAACTGGAGTTGTTTTACTAGACCCAAATTTAGCTCGTTTATGAGGATACGTTTTGTTAATAGAACCACATGTAGTTTTTAAAGTAAAAAGATCTTTTTAACAAAGGACATATTTGCTATTTTCAAAATGTTGCAATTCAATTTCTGTAAGGGAAAATGTTGTGACCCTTTATGCTAAGGTAATAAAAATTTAACCATGCAAGAAATTTCAGAATTGAGAGTCACTAAAATCAGTATTATTGTAACAAAAAGGCACTCACAGGTCTTGCACCAGAGAAGTCAAAGCATCAGCATTTTCAACATTTTGAAGGAGCTTGGATTTGTATGGATATTTTTGTGGATGGGTTGCACCCAAGCACCTGCCTTACAAACAGAGTGTGGTGGATACCCCTGGATGATATGTACAGTATATATACTAGGGATGCACCAAAATTTCAGTCGCCAAAACATATCGGCTGAAAATGGTACTTTGGGCAAAATGCCAAAAGTAAAAATTTTGGGCTGAAAATGCAGTGCATTTCTTGTTTCTCTCCTCCCCGCTGGGCGTTGCTCTATGCCCCCTCTAAAACAGAGCAGTACTCAGCAGGGAGGTAAGAAACTGTCAAGATGCCGAGCGGGGAGGAGAGCACTGTCAGCTGTCATAGGAGGCTGTGCTCTCATCCTGCACCACCCTGCTCGACCTCCTGTGACAGGCAGATCAGAAGAGAGAGCGGTGCAGGGAGGAGACAGCTGTCACAGGAGGGCAAGCCAGCGGTGCGGGGCACCGGCCACTCATCCTCCTGTGACAACGAGTTAGGATGGAGAGTGGAGTACAAGTGATCAGTTGAGTGCTTGTAAATATTTGATGACATAGTATGTTTACTGTGTCCCCAATGATAAATTAACAGGAAGTGCTCTACATCACTTCCTGTTTATTCATGAATGTGGACATAGTAACTCATACTCACCCACAATTTATGAATGGGCAGAAGTGCTCAGTATAGAGGCTTCCTGTTCTTTCATAACAGGGGCTGCAGAAAAAGATTGCAGAAAAAGATTGATGACTGTGTCCTCAACCTCTTTTTCTATTTCAAAAGGGAAATATCAGGTCTGTTTAGACCCCTGATATTTCCCCAGAGCCCCCGACAGTAAATAAAAAAATAAAATATATTTTAAAAAAACTTTTTCAAAAGGTTAGAAAAAAAAAGTTTCGGCCTGACTATTTTTTTATTTCTCGGTCTGAGAATTAAATTTCAGCCTCTAGGAGAGATATATATATACACACACTATATTACCAAAAGTATTGGGACACCTGCCTTTACACGCTTGTCAAGGTTTAAGAGTGTGTCTATGGCAATGTTTGACCATTCTTCCAGAAGCGCATGGAGGTCAGGTACTGATGCTTGGCGAGAAGGCCTGGCTCACAGTTTCCACTCTTATTCATCCCAAAGGTGTTCTATCGAGTTGAGGTCAGGACTCTGTGCGGGCCATTCACGTTCTACCACCCCAAAACTCGCTCATCCATGTCTTTATGGACCTTGCTCTGTGCACTGGTGCGCAGACATGTTCGAACAGGAAGGGGACATCCCCAAACTGTTCCCACAAAGTTGGGAGCATAAAATTGTCCCAAATGTCTTGGTATGCTGATGACTTTAAGAGTTCCCTTCACTTCACTGGAACCCATGAAAAACAAACCCACACTATAATCCCCCTCCACCAAACCTTACACTTGACACAAAGTCAGGCAAGTATCATTCTCCTGGCAGGCGCCAAACCCAGACACAACCATCGGATTGCCAGACAAAGAATCATATATACATACACATACATATACACTCACACATAAACAGATATAAACTGTATATATATGACCCAGAAACAATACAGACTGGTAACCTAATCAGTATGAATTGCAGTCACATAGAGAGTGCAGCTGTTTTGCATCTTCTTTAGTGCCTTACCTTGACAAAGATATCTGCTGTAAGAGGCCTTGCCTCTATGCATTCTAAATGATGCTATACATTTAAAAAAATATTTGCATTGCTTCAGGATACTGCTATTCTTAAATTGCCATATTGATCTTAATGTTATAATCCTTACAGATAAATTAAGTCATGTTACTGAATTCCTGCAGTCTCTAATAGAAACTATGCAAATGATGGTAATATGTTTTGTGTTTTTTTTTCATAGGCATTTATAGAACAGAGAGAGATAAGGGTACATTGTATGAACTGACTTTTAAAGGCGAGAGAAGTCAAGAATTTAAACGCCTTGTTCTCTTTCGACCGTTTGGACCTGTTTTAAAAGTGAAGAATGAAAAGTTGAACATGGCCAACGTCCTTGTTAATATCATTGTACCATTGTCTAAAAGAGCTGATAAGTTTCAACAGTTCATGCACAATTTCAGGTAAGACCATATATATTTGTTATATGCTGAACTACCCTGGCAACAGACATATGTCAATGAAAGCAAAAGTTTGTCTAAAGTGCATCAACAAACCATCAATGAAGCCGATATCAGGCAATAAAACTACAGTTAACCACTTCTGCGGGCCGCCGTCTATAGGCTTATTGCGGCCCGGAAGTAGATAAATGAGGCAAGATTTTTTCTTGTTTGTTTGTTTGTTTAGTGTTTTTGTCTTTTTTCTCTTGGCGAAAAGTGTGTATACATCCACCAGGGGGAATTGTCATGTGCTTACATAATGAGTTAAAGGTGACCCACTAATTATAGGAGGTAACGAAGGGCTTACTAGCCCCTAAAGTACATGGCTAACAGGGTACATGGGTATATTGTTACCGAAGGTTATTAGGGGGTCGCTCAAAGAGATAAGGGGGACATAATTCGGATGTTTAACATTTTTGGATGGAATGTTGTATGGCACGTTATTTGATGTAACAAACTTGGTTAATATATGAAACTAAAATTAATAAAAACTTTGCAATAAATCAGGCAAGATGACCGATTCCAGGATTTTTTAAAGCTCTTTCACAGTGGTCTGTCCTAATGGAAAGTCTCGGGAGTGAATTTTGAGGATTGTGTTACTGATGACCTTCATTAACATACAATGCACTAGCCGCCTCTGAATGGACGAGACCCCTCACCTATCACAGCCCCTCCAAACATTTAAAAGAAATAGAAGCACGAAGAAATTTTAACACTTAAAACTCTAACTCCAGTAAAAACGATTTAAACGGCAAGAAGCATTTTTTTGTTTTATGCTATGTTGTCACCCTGTGTGCAAGCCTAAATAGTTAAGAACTTTGGGAACTGGATGAATGTGGGCCAGTACCTAGTGATTAAAAGCCTTCATTATTTGCTAAGTGTGCCAGTGAACCCAGGCTGTGGTATATACTATTCACTATGAATGATCACAGCTAGCAAAGTGTTTACACTTACTTTAAATGCAATGGGAATATACTGTACTACTTTTTGACAAACTATTTCTGTATCTTAGTAATATTAAAATAAAATAATGAGTTGACTGCCTGGTATATGCACCAAGTAGTTCCATCTTTCTTTTTGGTGAACCGTAATAGTTCACTATTAACCTTTGTGATGCAAGTTAACCGTAAAAAGGGCTTTGAAATGTATCCTAGCTCATCTTTATTAATTGTAGTTGCTACAAATCGTAGTTATTTTTAGAAAATCAATTTTTCATTACAAACCACAAGAAATGGGTTAATTAACTGCTTTTAAAAGCGACCTTTAGTTTAGTTAAAGCATTGAGCAGCCATTTTCAGAAGCAGGCAGTGATGCAGAAATCCGTGCAGTTACTGCCGATCCCCTGCTGCAGTTTGCCTTCTGTTGACACTCATCATGCTGTATAGACTTCGAGGCAGGTCATTCTAAATGGACATGCTAAGCTTCTTATGGATGACCTGTAAAATAAAGGCCAGTGTATAATTACTGCATGATCATAGCTAAATATAAGGAGATGAAGGACAGTGGATGAAGGGTAACTGAATCTGTACTCAGGACTGTGCACACCATCTCTAATGCTGAAGTTGAAGGCAATCTGCTTTTCATTTTGTATAACTACTATACAGTTGAAACATTCAAAAACCATTTGAAATTCTTTGACTTTGTTACTAAGTGGAGTATATTTTTTTATTAATTTCCCAAATGCAATGTAATTAACTTATTATATCCTTTCTTGGATTTTCTCAGCAAAAACCTTCTCCCACGAGAAATAAAAAAAATGTGAGCTTGTGTGTGTACATGTGTATCTTGGTTAGTGCAGTCTTGTTTTTGGATTTAAACATTTTGTTTCATAATGCTTCAAGTAGATTTCAACAAAAAGTCAAACCAAGTCCTTGCAAACTCATGAAATGTAAATGTCCATTAATAGGAAACTTGAAAGGCGTTTCCTAAGTTGTATTGTAATTGTTGTTTTTTAACCTTATTTGATAGCTTTTCTATACACATGGGCTGCTTATATCTAGAACTCTGGTGGTAAAACTTCTGGATCTAGTGTAGGATAACTACATTATCTTACTTTTCAGAAGCTGTAGAATACTTAAGTGCCATGATGGCGGTTAAGCATTTGGTCAGGACATTTTGAGGAGAGACTAACAGGTCTATTCACTAAAGGGTGAAGAGTTTGGAGAAGTCAGGAGAAGTGAACAATCTAGGACAACATAGCTAAACTTGAAGTGAGCTGAATTGCAGAATTTTTCCAAATGAGCTATGTTGTCCTAGATTGTTCACTTCTCCTGCCTTCTCCAAACTCTTCACCCTTTTGTGAATAACCCTGTAAGTTGCTGAAGTTCCTAAAAGAAATAACTATCACGTGTTACAGGAAAAAAAATGGCATTCACACAGTAGTAAATCAGAGTTGGGTTTATACTTTCTTTGTTCTCTAGACCAGTTACTTTGTGTATGAAGACACATGCATAGAAACAATGGATTACACATTTGTTACCTGGTTTGTGTTTTGAAATAGAATGTTTAAAATAATTGGACAAATTACAATATAATGAATAACATCACAAGCAATGAAAGCATATGCCCTCAGAGACGCAATCAGTACCATGCTGACAGAAGGAGGTATATGTGTGCAGTGACACAACCAGTTCTGTACTGACACAAATATGAACATGAAAAAGTCAGACAAGTGAGAGAAGCAGTAGTGTAAAAGACAATAATAAAAATCTATTGATGTGGGACCTTTAGTCTGCCTGGTATAACAAGGGCAGTGTTACATAGTTACATAGTTAGTCAGGTTGAAAAGGCACAAGTCCATCGAGTTAGAGATATGAAAAAAAAGGAAAAGCCTAAACGGAACACTATGGCCACAATTACCCACTGTTGATCCAGAGGAAGGCAACAAAACCCCCCTATAAAGCATCGTTCAATTTGCTCCAACAGGGGGGAATAAAATCCTTCCTGATCCCACCAGGCAATCGGGTATTCCCTGGATCAACAATCTCTGGTGCTTAATATACCTATAAGAACTCAATATCCAGTAATATTCTGTGCATTTAAAAATGCATCCAGATTTTTTTTTAAACAGTTAAACGGAGCTAGCTACAACTAGCTCCTGGGGGAGTCTGTTCCACATTTTCACAGCTCTAACTGTGAAGAATCCTTTCCATATGCAAAGGATAAACCTCTTTTCCTCCAAATGCAAAGAGTGCCCCCTTATCCTTTGCAGTGACCTTAAAGTAAATAATTTGCCACCAAGCTCTTTATATGGGCCATTTATGTATTTATACATGGTGATCATGCCCCCTCTTAATCACCTCTTCTCCAGAGAGAACAAATTCAGGTCAGTTAATCTTTCCTTATAGCTGAGCTCCTCCATGCCTCCATGCAGTTGCTGCGTTAGGGTGATCCAACCTTACAACTATATATACCATCACAACTGTTATTTCATCCTAAATGTGTACCTATATGAAGGAATATGGAGACACTGTGAATACCTGGACTTCCACACTAAGTATACTCATGTGTTATGTATGTAGGAACGCATCCTATATCATGTATACCATATAATTGACTCAGTATGAAGTAATACCTGCAGTTGATACTATTGCTGAAGACTATTGTGATAACTGGCTACAGAGATCCATAACATGTATATCTGATAAATTGCAACATGTGGTTAAAAGCGCTACACTGCATCACCTGCTTTGACCACCTTATCAACATCTGCATATGAAATACTACTCCTCACCTGCCAGATATGTTCTTACAGCAACCTACTAATTCAATATCTATGCCTTTAACACAATTGTGCCCCATGCTTCTGTATTTGGATCCGATGTTTGCTTCTAGATGAACCAGTAGCAACTGTGCTAGTAGTACTGTACCAGTATCTGCAAACAGAACTCAAAGTATCCTCTGAACCAGTACCATACATGCCAAGCGTTCTCTCTGCTACAGACTAAAATATCAAATTTGAGTAGACCTACCCATCAACTCTTTAACTACTTTGCATTTGTCACCTATAATGTGCAGTTTAATGAGCCAAGTTTGCTGCAAAGGTCTCTCATTCAAAGCAACAAAACTAACAAGAAAAATCTCACAAATTCCCCCGCTGCTCCTGTCCAGTTATGTGAAAATAGTTAAAAATGGATCATCACAGGTTTTTAAATATTGGTACTACCTGGCTATCCTCCTAGTTTGGCTAAATTGGTAAATGATTTTTAATGGACAAAATAACCTGTTTATGCTTGACACTGCAGTAACGGGATGGCTAAGGTCGGAGACATTAAATAGCCTGACTTAAGTCTCCACTCAAATGTAGGCGTTTCCACTTGTTTTTATGCACGTCTTTCCCCTCGCATGGTTTGTGTGCATTTTTACGCACATAGACAAGACGCGCGTTTTATTGAGTAGGTCAAAGTGCATTCCTGGGAATGAGGTAACATGAATGCAAAAGCGCACAAAACATAACAGGAATTTGCAAACGCTTGTGTCGCGCGTTTTAATGTGCTTCCTTTGAAGTCTATGCGGCCAAATGTGCTGTAATCTGCCCGAAAGAAGCTCATGTGCATTTTCCAGAGTTCAGTGTTTTACAGCTTGCGACACAACTCTCAGGTGTAAACAGGGGCCATAAAAATAAATGGGATTTCTAGTGCTGAGAGTTTTGCTTTGAGCGCCAAAACGCCCAGGTGTGAACAGGGACTTAAATATATAGTTTTTTTTATTTAGGTACAGAGTTTGGTCTGTTTGGAGTTTGGAGAATACGTAGGTTTTCATATATTGGCCCAGTATCAGGCTCCCTTCCACATAATGAATAGTTAGGACTCCAATCCTGAATGAATGGAGGGTGTGAGGGCTCACATGCCTCCAAGAGGAGAGAGGGGGGATCTTCTGCTTCCATTGGCCATCCTGACGCTGTGCTCCCTTCTTGTTGTTGAATTGGCGAGTAGGGTTCCTTGGATTCATGGTAGTATACATGA